TAACATGTTTTTACATGATAAGAGTGTCATAACTAGTAGGGACTAGCTGAAATTATCATTGTTTTCAGCTATTGTAAAGGGTCTTCCATTTTTATAATTAGCAGATAAAAAAAATCATATATACAGTACTTTGGGTGAGTTAAGAGTTATGTCATAACATAATAGGTTAATTAATTCAGTAATTCTCAAAACATACCTTGCTTTGAAGCATTCTCATCGTCAAGACCAACGTATCACGCATGCTGGTGAAACAAACACACAAATATTCATATGGTTTGAGGTGTGAGTTTGTTAAATAAAAATGCGGTCAAATCGAATTAAAACTAGTGCGAAAAGTTAAAATGTCGAAATTAAGAGAGGGATCTGTAGTTAGAGATATGTACCGGACATTGAGTGTGCTTATAGGATGTGAAGATCCATCATAACTTATCAGAACAAACTGATTTGAGAATCCACACGGTACTTTTATCTGCAATTCGAGTTTTGATTTAGATTCTGAACAAGAAATCAAAAGAAAGCTTTAAATTCAATGCCGAGAATGTTTTACCAGGAGTTCCTTTGAGTATTTCTCTGAGATGACCACAGCTTCTACATTGTTCGTTTTAATCTGGTAACTAGATTTCTTCAAAATAACCGTTGCAGGTTCCCAACTCTCTGTTGAATCCAACTATTGGAAAAAAAGAACCCGCGAAAAACAGTTAATAGATCCACAGTTGAGTTAAACTCAGAGACATTGGATTCAAGCTCTGAGCTTCAAACTTACCAGGAGCTGCACATTAAAGGTTGCTTGACCTCGGGATATATATGTGTCGATTTCTGTTTGCATCTCTGTGTCTGTATAAGCAAAGACATTCTCAGCAAAGGAACGGTAACAGATCTTTTCGATATCCACAAAAACCGGGTTAGATTCCATTGAATACATTACCACATCTAATCTTGTTTTGATCATTAGCAAATAATCTCACTAATTCTCCCTGCATAATCGAAAAGAGAGAAATTCAAGACAACTGATCCAAACGCATTCTGATACCTGTAAAAAACCTCAGTGTTTACCTGACGACCTTGATCATCCATTGGAATACATTCAACAGCAATCAGTTTATCTACATCATCCGCGGTTACAACATACTCTGGATGTGTGGCTCCTGAATTTTTTTCAACCATAGTACACTTTTTAGATAGCTGAAAAAAAAACCGGTGTGACAAATAAATCAAGTTTTACCCTCGATGTATTGCCTAGTGCCATCTTCAAGATGCCGAACCCACTTTTCAAGAAAAAACAAACAAATCGGCACACGTATTAATCTTCATCTGTTTGATTAGTTTCAAAGACTCTTATTACCAAAATATTTTACCTGAAACATACAGAGAGTAGTTCCTCGCACTGGAAATCCGCAACCAAGAACTTTTTCTCCTGGTATTGCTTCTCCAATAATCTGAAATCCATCGATTCCTGGTCCCTCTGTTTTCAAAGAAAGGTCAGATTAAGATTTTTAATGAATCGTCACTAGGCTCTAAGTCAACTGAGAAATATCAGTTCAACCTTCATAAACATGAGTAGCAAACTCTTCATTCCCATTATAAGGATCAAACATGGAAGAACTCTCAGCTTTTTCTTCTCTCTCTCTCATCATTTCCTTTCCCGCCTCACTACTTAGAGGATATCCAAAATTTTCCCTACAAGTGAGCATAACGAAGCAGGCACTTGTCACTGTGAAAGAACTTCTTCGGTTAAAACTGAAATCAATGGAAGGTTTTAGATTTTAGAGAATTCAGAAATGATTACTGTACCTTTTTGGCTGCTGTAAAGTTCCTTGAGCTCCACCGCCAATCTGATTATTAAATCTCAAACTTTCAGTTTCTTGCGTAAGGTTATGATATGGGTTTCTCGTAACATTGTCCATAGGTGGCAAAAGTTGTTCATTGGACCGGTAATCGTTACCATGATCCTGCATCAAGATTCAAGGGTAGTATATCAACACGCAATGTAAGTTTCTACCGAAAAGATGCCACAGGTTTTAGAAAAGGTCTTTAAGAGCAAATGATAAGTAATTTAGCAAATTACTTGCTGAGACTACCGTGGATCCATAAGAAGCTTGACTTTTAGAAATTCTGGGATCATGGTTGTTGTCTTTACTAATAAACTCTGTTCCAGGTTGAGTTTCCGCAAGAGATGATAATTCTCTAATCCTATCCTGTGATTTAAGATTTCATCACAACAAGTTCGAAAGGAATTCATGAAGAGTATTCACATTACTGCAGAGGTCTAATTTAGCAAAAGGACAGATGCAGACAACATTGCACTGAGGAAATGTTTGTAAGTACACTAAAACTACAGGATAGAGAGCTTACATTGCAAGCTTTAATCTTCCATTGCAACTGATCATGCAAGTGCTACATACGAAGAAAGATAATATAAATGTTAAGATTGATTAGTGTATAAATTTGAAGAAAGATGTAGTGAAAGCGAAATACCTTTATGCCACTGGATATAGCGGTAGCATTCGCAACACGAGGCCAAACACCATACTCGGCTAATAAACCAAGTAAGGACGTCATGAAAATATATCTCTCGTCTTCTGTAACCTGAAGATAGAGAGTGAGAGAAGTAAAACACATAAGGGCAAAAGGCAATGAACTAGTACTTGATCTGAGACAAGCCAATATACCTTTAAATCATGCGCTAACTTCAAATTTTCTTCAAGATCGCCTTTTCTACGAGCCAATTCATTCAACGCAGACGTAACAGATTCATTTTGTTTCTCATCAATTGCCTAAGTAATAAAAAACAACTTGTAATCAAAACCATAAGCCAAAGATGAACACTTTCCATCAATCAATCTTGATATATAGACTTCTACAAAAGCAAAAAAGAGAAGACAAACCACTCTAAGATCAGCACATTTTCTCTCTAATCCATACTTGTCATTAAGCAGCTGCATATCCTGTAATCAAAAGATGCAAAATTCAATTTCTGATTCAAGTTTTCATTAGAAAGATTCATGATGTTATACCTTCAAACAAGCAGCAGCAATTTGTTCCTGGAGATTATGAATCTCTTCTTCCTGAGACCTCGCTTTTGAATAAAGTGCCTGCTTTTATTAAACTTGATTTCAGTAAGAGAACTTGGAATATGATTCTACAAAAAATCGAGATTGAGAATCAGTACCATTTCCTCAGGATCTTGAATTAACTTAGCATTATTCTCTTCTAGCTTCCTCGAAGCACCACGACTAGTTTCTTTCTCAATCTCATGCCTATAGATCGAGACCAATCACAGCTGCTTAAAAAATCAAAGCAATTTTGTTGGGTTTAAGACAAAACAAAGTAATAATTATATACCTCTTCATTGGATCAGAGCTCCGATTGTCATCCATGAAACTCGAATTCAAGGACATGTGATTTTTCTTCTTGGTGTTTGTTTCTCTATCAAATCTATCGGAAATTATCATCCACAGTTAAAGTTTCGAAAATAACAAAAAAGTCCCTCACATTAATCATTGCTTTCACTATAGCCCATGATTTATGAAGTTTACAAAATAGTCTTTCCATCTTTTATAAAAAAGTGTACTGATTTTCTTTTTAAAATTGACATTAGTTTTATTGGGACTGGGAAAAAAACTGAAATGAACCAACTCCAAATCAAACTGATTTTCATTAGTTCCAGTTCGAACTAC